TTTTACATAAGAGTCTTCTTTTTTCAAAAACATTAAAATAATCTTACTGACCTGTACCTTGTGGCTACAGTAGTACTGCAGTATGTTTCATCAAACTTCAAAATATTTCTGCCTAAGGTCTTTTTTGGCATGTTTGAATTCAATAGCCTCAGGCCAACAACCTTTTTAAGCAATACATGACTTAAATGAGAAAATTTAAGGAATAGTTGACCCAAAAATGATAACGTGTCATGATTTTATGCTAATATCATTTACAGATCATTTCAAGCCCATATGATGTTCTTTGTTCCTTGAAACACAAAAAGAGAAACTTTGAAGACTCTTGTCCACACCCTAAAATCTCAAGAGCGGCAGTAGTTACCTGTGGCCTTTAGTCGGGGTTTAGGGGATTTCTTGTCCTTCTTCTCCACTCTCCTTCCTCCTCTCGGCACTACTTTTTTGCCTTTCTTTTTGGAGTGCCCATAGTCGCTGTCATCATCATCATCAACCATGAAGTCTTCATCACTGCCTGACTCTTCTGCAACAGAGAAAATTGTAATATACGGGTGTTCAAGTCAAAAGAGACAAAAAGGCTTCTATTAATTTTTTGTTCACTTGTTTTATCTTTTGCCAGGCCAAAACCATTAACAACTATAAGCAATGTTAATAATAATGATGCTTAATCAAAGTGACAAACATATTTAACAACGCAGTTAAAAACTAGCACACTTACGGTCCAGGTATGCCTGCTTTTCCTCATCCTTTTCCTCATCCTCACTGCCTCCGTCTCCTAGAAGGATTTCTCTCTGTTTGGACACGGCCTTTGACGCAGCCTGCCTCACCTGCCTCGGTTTCCTGCTCACCTCTTTTTCATCATCATCACTGTCATCTGCAGAGGAATCACAAGTGTCATGCACAACAGATGCACCCATATTTTCATTCATGCTTCATTTAATTTGCATCTATTTTCAGGTCATGCACTCCTAAACTGTGATTGTTTTATATATTGATCACATGATCTTATTCTGTCTTAATGGGCGGTTCTTGCCCAAAATAGGACTAGACTTTATGCTGATAGTTTAACGTCTGGTGCTTCATGTTTAATGTATTTTTTGTCGATCTGCGACTCACCTCCACCTCGTTTCCTCTTCAGTGTCTTTTTGCCTGGCTTCTCTGCCTTTCCTTTCTTTCCCTTTTTGGCCTTTTTGTCATCATAGTCACTTCCTCCATCTTCGTCTTCCTTTTTCTCTCCAAAGTCGTTGTCTTCATCACTACCGAAATCATCTGTAAAACACAAAATTATAGAGTAATCGTCTTTTTATAAATCAATAATTCATCTACGGTAGATGAAACTAACGCAATTCACCTGCTGAATCATTTTTGGATTTGGAGAGTTTGTCATCTGAATCCTCGCTGTAAGACAACAGAAAAAGAACGTTAGTAGTTTGATCTTAGAAGGAAAATGTCCTAGTGTGTGGTATTTATTTCCTAGTTATAATTAACTGCCGCATATGTGGGTCATAAGGAGAAAATGGATCTCAAAAAGGTTTACGTTCCCCAGAGATTCAAACACATGCGAAACCAGTCGTGAAATTCACTCGTTCGCACCATTTGGTACATATTAAGTCATTTAAAATCATTATTCTGATACTATTTGTTGAAGTACTAAAATTAGACAGATTCTTGCCTGTCTTCCTGCGAATTCTTAGACTTCTTGTGCTTGATTTCACGAGGTGGAGCACGTATCTTCTTAGTTGTTTCCTTTTCTCTCCCATAGTCCTCATCTGGAGGCAAAAACGAAGACAGATTGAACCAAGTACACAATAGCACAAACTGATTACCTAAAGCAGTTTTGAATTGCTTATATAGAAGAATGTTTATATGCCAATATTGAGTAAACATGCAAAGAGTACTGTTGACATACATTCATACTTTTCTGAAAGCTTAAACAATGGATTTTAGAGATGGTTTATTACCTGCATCGTCAGATTCGTTGAACTGGGAGTAATTCACCACCTTTCTGTTCCTGTAAGAGAGACAACATACTGTAACGAGAGTTTCCAAGCACACATTTGTGATGCAGCGGTGCATGTGGCGTTAATTCACGTTTTAAGGGCTTACAGACCATCGGAAGGTGGTCAGCATTTCTTCAGGAAACTAAAGCTCATTTAACATGCCTCGCTTCATTATGTTTACTTGAATTAATGATCGTTAAACAGTTCCTTAATTAGCATTTCAATAAGGGTTTCATTAATACTGCAGTCTTGTCCCATTTAACCACTCAGGCCACTCAACACGAGATGCTTGAAGAGCCACAAGTTACTTCTAAGTAATTAGATGGATCACAAGACTTTTTGGATTATAATTTACAATACACTTCCACCCAGAAATTGCTAGTAAATTTGACAAATAATTACAAAGAAATGGCAAGTAAGTAACACGTTGAATTAAATGTGTAATTTACAAAAAATTGGGGGGTTGGAATAGTGCAGAAATACTTTGTACTCAGAAACTGCTAGTAAATTTTATAAATAATCACAAAGAAATGGCAAGTAACACGATTTTTAAGTATTTAGACCGAAATAGTATTCTCTCCTATTTTTCACAGCACACTTAAAAATCAATTCAGAGAGCACATGATATTATACAGAATACAATACATTTTAAACGGTAAAATCTGAAAATTGAGCAGGAATCTTGTCATTCACTATTTCCTTTTCCATCTAAAATAATAATTAAGCTTGCGAAACCAATTCGGCGGAAATGTCTCATTTACATGTTTATTAGTAACAATAGTTAGTACTGTCAGACTCTTTTCATAATCTGTCTTAATTTATGCTTTAATAATAGTGCTTATACAAGTTTTATTGCAAAAACAGTATCTTTCGCCTATGGTTACCGTGGTGGATGTTTGGGAGGGCAGCGCGGGACCATTTTATAGTCGGTACATGATGAATGCCCGTGCGATATTTTTCATCTTTTGTAGATAAAAATAACACATAGCCATATACACTAATCTGTTGGTATTTGAAGTGAAAATGTGGTGAGTGAATATCAAATTTTGTGCACATTTTCCTCAATTCCAAACGGGGGGGAGGGGGGGGTCGCTCTTAGCCACCCCGCCCCCCTCTAACGTCACCCGCGTCGTGTTAATTTACCGCTATCAAAAAAATCCCTCAAAACGCGCTTCCCTGCCCAACAACACCAACTGGCTTTCGCAACCTATTGTTTCTGCATCACTGAGATATTTGCGCAAATATGTGCGCATAACAGGTTACAAAATCACTTGAGTGGGCCAATGAGCACCTTCAGTGGGATTTTATTACCCCTCCTGAAGCTTTGGCGGGGATTAATGGGAAGCCATATTCTCACTGGCTTAACGTACAAGGAAACACGAAGCCTCTGAGTGCTTCTCACACAACAAACATTCTGAAATGTAGGTAGGTGATGCACAAGGAACATCAGATCGCAGAATCCTGGTTGATGCACACTAGAAACGTGCAAGATCAGCCATAAATATAAAAGAGACAGTCCTCCGCCACTGGGAAAGAGACAACGAGCAAAATGCATGCACGAATGAGCAAAAACGTTACAAAATCGAGCTCTAAACAAGAAGCTAAGGATGCCTGGCACATGCGTGAAGCCCAGGACTCGGTGTGCATGCAGCAGCCATCAGCAGGACGAATGGAAACCCACGTACCTCACTGGTCTTGCCATTTTGCAGGAATACTGTAGAGGTTACAATTGTGAAAGAGCAAAAGAAAAGCACGGAAAATGGAGACGAAATGTGGTATTTTAAAACACAAGAGGGCTAAAGGTGACGTCGCAAAACCAACGCCCTCTCCCTGTGCTAAAAATGAAACAATGCGGGAAATACTCCTGCTCTACGAAAGTATTTAGTTTAAATTGTACCTTCAGCTACTCAAAATGGTGAATAAAACAAACTGAAACTGCAGCCTTCGCGCAACCTAACGATTGGACGGTGGGCGGGCATTTTTGTTTAAACTCCGCCCGCTCGGCTGGATTTGCCCAGAGAGCGACGCTATTGGTCTGTTTGAACAAATGTTTGATTTGGGATTGGGTTTCGCGGCTGTCGATCAAACATAGGGTCTCCAAAGCAATTACCCTCCCCCTCGTTTGCGGATAGGTTGAACAGCATGGCTCAGAAACAAAAAGAGGCCCTAACGATATGCAAGATGTCCCAGTTTAAGTGTAGAACAACTTTGTGTTGTTTGTTTCGTTTGAAATTAAGTTTATATAAATGAATATGCGCTTTAAATAATGGAGAGCGCACAGCAGAAGGTTTGAAACCCCCAACGTATTCATTTTTGCTGGATACTGGCCTAAAATGGGATTTTAAGTAGATAATTACTGCAAATATAATGATAACAAAACATAGTAATGCTAACAGAAAACAGGCCTGATATTGTTGAACCCTTATATCATATTTCATCATTTAAATTTTTATGATAAGTATGTTAATGTTCATTGTTATTTTAATGAGAAATCATGTAAATGTTTGGATATTTTACAATTGTTTACTATTATTTTTATGGCTCAGAAATGATCTTAGGTTGTTGTTGTTTCATTTTTTTCTCTCTCTCTGAAATTAAGTTTGCGTAAATTAATATGTGGTTTAAGAGCATAGGAAAGAAGGGGTTTAGAAAGGTTTAAGACCCACAACGTATTGCTTTTAGCTGACTTTTACCCTAAAACGTGCCTCAACTTGATAATTCTTGAAAAAATGTTATTGCAAATGTAATAATATATTACTTTAATGTTGACCTTTATTTGTGTTTATGTTATAAAAGCTTAAAACATTCACTCTTGCTATTTCGATGGAAATGAATGTGAATAGCAATGCAGGCTGCTTGATATTCAGTCTCCAGGGTCACATGACTGCAAGGCATCTGTATTCCAGCATAAGCAATGTATCTAACATGTCATTTCAAAGGATTTTTATGCATACATGAAATGCAGTGACTGTATTTCTTTTTATTTCTGTTTCAGGGAAAAGGATTTCTTCCTCTTTCTTCGCTGCAGACCCTGGAATCCTCTCTGCTCAGCAGTTATTGAAGTGAGGAGAAGGTACGTCTCCATGGCAACCAGGTATGATTCTCATCCATTTCATTTATTTATTTAGTTGCCCATCCATCAGTGTTTGCATTTCTTTAGCCTTCTCTAATCTTCCAAAGCATCTCTGTATGAGTTCCTGAGAAAGAAATCTGCTACTATCAAGGGTCAGTCGTCTCATATTGTTTTTATTTATTTGGATGCATGTCATCTGTTGCCACAGCAACCACTCACTTTTCTCCCTGGAGTGCACACAGAAATCACATCTTTGCTGTCACAAAAAGTAGGACATGTGCAAAAAAAATGCTCACACAGGCTATAACACCATACAGATGTGGGGCCCACATGCATAAACTTGTGTTTGCTCACAGCTTATGGGCAAAGTGCAATTAAATCACTAGTTTCTGTTACACAAGGTGCTTGTCAAAATTCATTTGATCTGGAACTAAATTTTAATGTTGGTGAATCTCACAAAACCTGTCATTACATGCCCTCTCAAAGAAATAAATAGAATAATTGTTTTTAAATCAAGAATGTTTTTAGAATCATTCACTTTTTTCTTGCATTGTGAGAAATAAATAAACTAAAGAAAATAATTATTAAAAAATGTAAATTGTTTAGACAAGTGAAAAGAATTTGAGAAGATTGTATTTTTTAAATAATAAATCAGAAAATAAAATGAAAGCATCACAATCCAAAAATCTTAACTGTTCTCAAATAGACTTGATTTTCTTAATGCAAATTATAATTTTGATTATAATACATATGTTTTCTAGGGTGAAATGTGTCCTGGACATATTTACTGAGATTCATCCAGGTAAGGATCTCATAGAAACAGGTTGCATGTTTCTCCCTGGAGTGCACACAGAAATCACATCTTTGCTGTCACAAAAAGTAGGACATGTGCAAAAAAAATGCTCACACAGGCTATAACACCATACAGATGTGGGGCCCACATGCATAAACTTGTATTTGCTCACAGTTCATGGGCAAATTACAGTGGAATGCAATTAAATCACTAGTTGCTGTTATACAAGGTGCTTAGAATTCTTGTCAGACCAAAAATTCATTTCATCTGGTAAAAACTAAATTTTAATGTTGGTGAATCATACAAAATCTCACAAAACCTGTCCTAACCTGCTCACAAAATCCAAAGAAATAAACATAATTTTTTTTTTTCAATCAAGAATGTTTGTAGAACCATTCACTTTTTTTGCAGTGTGAGAAATAAACAAAAGGAAATAATAATAATAATAATAATAATAATAATAATACAATCAATTGTTTAGATTGGTATTTGAGAAGATTGTATTTTGTTAAAGTTTCTAAAAAAAAGTAAGAAAATTAAGAAAAAAGGAAAATGTCACAATGCAAAAATCCCAATTGTTTTCAAATATGCTTAATTTTCTTTAATTTTGATTATAATAAATACATATGTTTTGTCTTTTTTTTGTCTTCTAGGGTGAAATGTGACCTGGGCATATTTACTGAGATGCATTCAGGTAGGGATCTCATAAATTTTGAGCTAATGCTTTGAATGGAAACATGTTACGTCTTTATACTTTGGTGACAATTTTTAAAATGCCCCCAGAAAAGGCAATAACTTATAGTAGCTTGTCCATTGCAACTCTACAGTTGCAAGGCTAATAAAAGGACACAAGAGGGCAGTATGGCACTGCTATGATATGATTTGCTTAGAAATTGTAATCCAGTTTTGTACAGAGAAATTGATATTTTAATAATAGGGCTGTTATGCAATGTTAGTTTTTCCTGTGTGTTCTTCAAGTGAGATCATGTGCAAAACCATTGTGATTATATTAAAACTGTCTTGACTGTATGTGGGTTCTGTATATTGTAGTCTGTTTACCTGACTACAAAAAATATTTGTGTGCTTAAGCCATGCTTAAAAAAGGTCAGTGTCTTTATTGTACTCTACAGCACAAAATATCAAACCAAGAGCCATTTATTTTAAAGAAAGGTTTCGTGCAAAACATTTTACGAAAAGGTAGTTTTATATTTTGCTATATGAGGCAGTGACATTCATGCTTTCTTAATTGTAGATACTTTTTGGAGTGGTATGTAGGTATTTCATGTGAATTCAGATTCATATACAATATAAAAGGTTGTTTTGTTCTTTGGCAATTAATGTCGTATAAGTGCATATTCTACATTTTTTGAACCACTTCAGACAGAAATTCAGTTCATAAAATACAGACACCGAGATTGCTGTGAATTTTATAAAATTGAAGTTGTTTAATTTGTCCTTAAGTTATACTGTTATATGTTGATGAAATATTAGGGGTAACAAAGGGCTAAGGGTTTATATGGTCATGAAAGGAGCTGAATTGCACAAACAGGGTTAGTAAGTGTTGTTTATAATATCTCATGTTTAATGTGAAATAGTTTCCCAAAAATGAAAATGAGCTAAAAATGTACTCTCCCTCAGGCCATCCAAGATGTAGATGAGTCTGTCTCTTCATCAGAACTGATTTAGAGAAAAGTAGCATTGCATCACTTGTTCACCAATGGATCCTCTGCAGTGAATGGGTGCCGTCAGAATGAGAGTCCAAACAGCTGATAAAAACATCACAATAATCCACACCACTCCAGTCCATCAGTTAATGTCTTGCTGCACATTTAACAAATCTGTCATTAAATCACTTCTGGCCAAAATAAGAGCCCACAATCCATAATAACTCCTCCAGTGAAAAAGTCCATCCCCTGATGTCCTCTCACATCAAAATCCACCAACATATTTGTTTAGAGCTGTTTTGGACTGTAAATGGTGCTTGATCTGTGCATATTTCTCTCCTGATCCAGACTTGATGACTCACACTGGAGAAAGCAATGCAATGGATCAAGGACTCGTATTTTAGCTGGAAGCAGCAAGTTAAAAAATGTCTTAATGATGGATTTGTTTCTTCCAAACATTCAGCTTTTCACTTCACAAGATGTTAATTGATGGACTGGAGTCGTGAGGATTACTTGTGGATTATTATATTATTACTGATGGCACCCATTGCACTACTCTTTTAGGTCCTGTGGCAAAACCTCTGAAACTTGTTTATTTGAATGTAGTGCCTGGACTTCCATTGTAAGTGCACGCATAGATGTTGTCGATAGATTATAACTTGTATTGAACCCGGGACATTTTTTGCTAGACCAGCCCCCAACTAGTACTTTCTAGCATGAACCTTCCTTGACCAACATGAAAATTCATGCTGCAGGCTAATGCATACCAGAGAGGCACCCACTGAGTCCACACAGTTCTGCGTTTAAAGATGCTGACTGTGTCAGGTTGTTTAGCAGGTGAAGGTTCGGGTGCAGGTTGCATTTAAAAGAGCAGGTATTTTCTCTCGCCACAGCGCCAAACAGTATCTCCATCCTGAAACAACCAGGAGTCCGGATGCAGCTGCGTCCCATCGCTGAACCTCTGATAGCACACTTCAGTCAGTGCTGTGGGGAGTTTATTCAAATAGATCTCAACTCCCTGCAGCCTGTTTTACACACAAACACGCAGCGAGAACCCAGTCTATGGATTTTGAATTTTAAAACATACTTATTTACAATCGCAGGCAGACTATTCTTGAACAAGAGCCCTGCAGAAAAATGAGAGGAGACTCGCAGCGAGAGGACGGCGGGAAAAAGTAGTAATGTCTTTTTTATTGAAGTATGCCAAATTAAAGAATCAGATAGGTCGTTATACCCGTTATATCTAAATGATGGATATTTCTTAATGAGTTGCAACTTTAGTGTATTTCTTATTTTATTTTATGGTGTCATTTTCAATCAGCTTATGCAAAAAAAAAAAAAAAAAGTGAAAATATCATATAAAAGTTAACTATTAATTACTCTTAGTAAGAGAAAGATGTTATAAAAAATGTAATTTCCACCACAGAATTGAATTAGTGATATGAGATGTGGTGGGAATGATATTTTAAACATTTTTGAATGAGATTTTAAGTTCAAATGTGCCCTTTTATATATAGATATAACCCAAATATTTTTTTTCCTCACCAAGTCACTGAACATAAATCTTCTATGTTTAGCAAGAAGCTCCACACAGGAGCCATTTTTCTCAGATTTGCTTTGTTGCTCTTTAATCCTGAAAATAATAAGTTTCCGTGATCCTCCCCAAAACGTTCTCTAACATTTTACATGAAGCAACACTGAGTTTTAATCTGCAGTAAACTCCAGATGGCTTGAAGTAGGACTTTGAAACCAACGACAAGGAATGGCTGAAAAATTAGGGGCCGCAGAGCTTTAACGCCCCGCAAAGCAACTTATTTAAATTAGAACAAAGACGTTCCGGGATGAAACATTCTCCTCAACCAGAAGGCATTTTAAAGCTATAGAATATATTCAATGCTAATGCCTTTGAAACTTCCAAGAGAGATGTTTTAAGGAATTCTTAAGCCGTATTGAAGGGTTTAAAAACTTCCACACAGCTAGATAAAATCTTTAAATTAGTAAATCTTTAGAATGTTCATTTCTAACAGTCAACTGATAAAATGAGGCTTATAAACTATTGCTAATAAAAAGGATTCCATTGAGTCTGTACAAAAAATAAATCTTAAAGGTCAAACACAGTACGAGCAGAGATATTCTCCATAAAAACTCCTTCTGATGAAGTTGGTTGGCCAAGGTAGTCTTGGTGGTTAGGTAGTTAAAGCAATTTTAAAGCAACATACTGGTAAAAAATGTATAGCCTGAATGCACTGGAAGTCACTTTGGATAAAAGCGTCTGCTAAATGCATAAAAAAAAAAAAAAAATTCAGTACAGCAAATGTGGCCTGTTTACATGAATGCATTTACAGTGGAAGTTGATGAGGCATTGCACTGCATTCTGATGTTTACATAAGGCTAGTTGAATAAATCACTTACTAATCTTGTCTGTGCAAAGTTAAATTCACTATTTCTCCTGTCATGATTATGCAAAGACTATAAAACAGACATTTGTTTGTTTTAAACTATACAGCTTATTGTTCAACTCTACATGTTTTTTTTTTGTTTTAATATACAAGCTAATATGTGAACCTGGATCACAAAACGAGTCATAAGGGTCAATTTTTTGAAATTGAGGTTTATACATCATCTGAAAGCTGAATAAATACGCTTTTTTAATTATGTATGGTTTGTTAGGATAGGACAATATTTGGCCGAGATACAACTATTTGAAAATCTGGAATCTGAGAGTGCAAAAAAATCTAAATATTGAGAAAATCGCCTTTAAAGTTGTCAAAATGAAGTTCTTAGCAATGCATATTACTAATCAAAAATGAAGTTTTTATATATGTACAGTAGGAAATTTACAAAATATCTTCATGGAACATGAGCTTTACTTAATATCCTAATGATTTTTGGCATAAAAGAAAAATTATTTTGACCCATGCAGTGTATTGTTGGCTATTGCTGCAAATATACGCGTGCTATGACTGCTTTTGTGGTTCAGGGTCACATATAGGGCCTATGCATATGCAGTCCCAACAGGATTTTTTATTATTATTATTATTTTTTTTTTAAAATATCCACCAGGTGAAAATTGTGATCACTCCAAAAGTAATAGCCTACCACACCTCTTCTCTGTTTACTTTGAAACAATTTTCACTCAGAAATTGCTACATTTCACAAATAAGTACAAAGAAAAGGCAAGTAACATTGAATTAAACATGAACTTTTGAAATAGAAAGACTGAAAGAGTATTTTCTTATAAAACATACTCCAGTAATCTTTCAAAAAAATCGTTTTTCGGTTGCATTAGTGATGCTTGCCCTAGCGACAGCACACATAATCTGTAGAGTCTACACAGCCTATGTACAAAACGCTGTTTAATAGAGCCAAATCCTCCTAAAATAGATTCCATATCATAAAGCTGTCTGGTTGAGATGCATTTCAAGAGCTCCCAATCTACATAATGTAAGTCAGTTGATTTTAAGCCGTTCGCCTTGGCAAGGCAAATGAGCGGCAGCTCTTTCCATATGTTCATGCGAGTAAACAGACATGGTGGATTGTGTCATAACTGTTTGTCTCTATAGACATCAGCCACCTGTTGGGGAAATCTGCTTTATGTTCACGAATCCAAACGATAATGCGACATGTCAGGTTGTGTCAGCTGCCGCCACCCCACCAGGGCGTCAGGGGTGCGTGTTTGCATGGGCATATGTGAGTGAAGGGTGTCGCCCGTTCTCAGCAGGTCCTAGACATTCATAACCTATCAAGAAGCTTGTGTGATGCATTACATGTGACCTGGTGATAAAAATGTGAAAAAGTCTCTCGTTTTTTTTCTCTCCTCCTCAGTGGCGCACACTCGTCGAAAAGCTGTCATCTCTTCTGGTGTCTGCAGAGAAGGATCAAAGCAGGAACAGGCAGCCAGCGAGAGAGGGAAAGAGAGAGAGATTTCGGGGTGAACCAGAGGACGCAGCCTCTTCTGTTAAACAGGGTAACCCAGTTGCTGCCAGATTGAAGGAAGCCTGCTTCTCTGTAAACATATTCAATTAAGACATCAAACTTCAAACCGTACGATGAAAAAGAATGCCGATGAGGAGAAAGACGGGTTCGGGGTCGAACTGCGTGCCTCCACTGCTTTTCTCTGATTTAGAAACAGACTTCTTTTGATTAAATAATCATCGCTTCGTAGAAATGCAAGTTGCGGACCAGACGTGCGCATAGACACAGCTGAAATATAATGAGCTCGGTAAGATGCCGCAGAAGTGCTGCTGTTTTTAAGACCTCTGAATAAAATTTCTTTAGATCAGGGGTGCTCATGCTACGTTCCAACAGTTTCCAACGTCCTACTTGGAAAAGTGCAATAGAATGCCACAAACCGGACTTCCAACTGTGAAACCAGAATTTGGATCAGCATACTACTCTTACTATTTCTTCTATATTTATATATGGTAGTAATATTCCAAATTTAGATTGTTTTCTGACAGGTTTCCTGAACACGCCCCCATCGGCCATTGGTCAGACAAACAGATAGCACCGCCCTAATCTTATGTTATAGAGTGCAACAATCGGGTTTCTCCATAGCCTAATTGATTTTTAACAATAACTTAAACCTTTGAAGACAGACCAGTGAGCTACAAGGTTGTTAATCGATGGTATATGGTTTTGTTGAAGATATCAGCCCACATTATTTAAGGAATAATTTTTAACAGCAGTATTCCGGGTAAAATAGACATTTTAGAGACATTTGAAGAAACATTTTCACATCTGTGTTGCATGGAATTGTGGGCAGTTTTAGCCCAAAAAGCATGAAGGACCGAGCAGTAGTACCGTACAATTTGGGCACCTTTGCTGTGCAGACATGTTGTATTATATAGCTTTCGCCAGGTATTATAAGCTTTCTGGGTTGGAACTGAACTCTGTAGGACAGTTGATCTGGGCACCCCCGTGTTATGCCTGAAAGGACCCTTAGGTTAAATCCTGCAAACCATTTAGATCCAGTCTCCCCAGTGCACACCTAAGGTGAAATGGTGCACCACAATCTTCTGATGCTGCATTAAAGGAGTATTTCACCCAAAAATGAAACATTTGCTGAAAATTTACTCCCAGTTTACTCTCAGGCCATCCAAGATGTAGATGAGTTTGTTTCTTCATTAGAAAAGGTTTAGAAAGATTTAGCATTCCATCACTTGCTCACCAATGGATCCAGTGAATGGGTGCCGTCAAAATGAGAGTCCAAACAGCTGATAAAAACATCACAATATTCCACACCACTCCAGTCCATTGATTCACATTTTGTGAAGTGAAAATCTGTGTTTCCAGGAAACAAATTAGTCAAGATGTTTTTAACTTCAAACTGTTGAGTTCATAATCCATAATATTGATTTCTCCACTGAAGAAGTTGTCTTAATCGGAATCAGGAGAGAAATATGCACAGATTAAGCTCCATTTACAAGCAAGTTTTAATGTGAAAGGGTAACCGGGAAAGGACTGGAGAAAGCATTATTATGGAATATTGACATGTATTTTGACCAGAAACAACATTTTCATGTTAAACACGTCTTAAGGAAGGATTTGTTTCCTACAAACATGCAGATTTTCACACCACAAGGTGTTAACTGATGGACAGGTGTGGAGTAGATTACTTGTGGATTTTATAGGGATGTAACGATTAACCGCGAGCCGGTTGAAAATCGATTTAAGTATGTGACGATTCAAATCGGTTGAGATGCTAAACAAATCGCGATTCAATTAGGGGTAGGAGTTTATATGAACGTATGTCTGAGGGGAACTTACTGTCTTTCGATGGTATTTTTTCTTTTCCTCTTGCCTCTGTATAATGCATATTAAAGTTCATAAATCCAGCGCTGCTTTGTTTACAGCGGAAACCAAGGAAACGCTTTAAGCGCCACCTGCTGGCAGTGCATTAGTGATGCTTGCCCTAGCGACAGCACACATAATCTGTAGAGTCTACACAGCCTATGTACAAAACGCTGTTTAATAGAGCCAAATCCTCCTAAAATAGATTCCATATCATAAAGCTGTCTGGTTGAGATGCATTTCAAGAGCTCCCAATCTACATAATGTAAGTCAGTTGATTTTAAGCCGTTCGCCTTGGCAAGGCAAATGAGCGGCAGCTCTTTCCATATGTTCATGCGAGTAAACAGACATGGTGGATTGTGTCATAACTGTTTGTCTCTATAGACATCAGCCACCTGTTGGGGAAATCTGCTTTATGTTCACGAATCCAAACGATAATGCGGCATGTCAGGTTGTGTCAGCTGCCGCCACCCCACCAGGGGTACGTGTTTGCATGTGCATGTGTGAGTGAAGTGTGTCGCCCTTTCTCAGCAGGTCCTAGACACCCATAACCTATCAAGAAGCTTGTGTGCTGCATTACATGTGACCTGGTGATAAAAATGTGAAAAAGTCTCTCGTTTTTTTTCTCTCCTCCTCAGTGGCGCACACTCGTCGAAAAGCTGTCATCTCTTCTGGTGTCTGCAGAGAAGGATCAAAGCAGGAACAGGCAGCCAGCGAGAGAGGGAAAGAGAGAGAGATTTCGGGGTGAACCAGAGGACGCAGCCTCTTCTGTTAAACAGGGTAACCCAGTTGCTGCCAGATTGAAGGAAGCCTGCTTCTCTGTAAACATATTCAATTAAGACATCAAACTTCAAACCGTACGATGAAAAAGAATGCCGATGAGGAGAAAGACGGGTTCGGGGTCGAACTGCGTGCCTCCACTGCTTTTCTCTGATTTAGAAACAGACTTCTTTTGATTAAATAATCATCGCTTCGTAGAAATGCAAGTTGCGGACCAGACGTGCGCATAGACACAGCTGAAATATAATGAGCTCGGTAAGATGCCGCAGAAGTGCTGCTGTTTTTAAGACCTCTGAATAAAATTTCTTTAGATCAGGGGTGCTCATGCTACGTTCCAACAGTTTCCAACGTCCTACTTGGAAAAGTGCAATAGAATGCCACAAACCGGACTTCCAACTGTGAAACCAGAATTTGGATCAGCATACTACTCTTACTATTTCTTCTATATTTATATATGGTAGTAATATTCCAAATTTAGATTGTTTTCTGACAGGTTTCCTGAACACGCCCCCATCGGCCATTGGTCAGACAAACAGATAGCACCGCCCTAATCTTATGTTATAGAGTGCAACAATCGGGTTTCTCCATAGCCTAATTGATTTTTAACAATAACTTAAACCTTTGAAGACAGACCAGTGAGCTACAAGGTTGTTAATCGATGGTATATGGTTTTGTTGAAGATATCAGCCCACATTATTTAAGGAATAATTTTTAACAGCAGTATTCCGGGTAAAATAGACATTTTAGAGACATTTGAAGAAACATTTTCACATCTGTGTTGCATGGAATTGTGGGCAGTTTTAGCCCAAAAAGCATGAAGGACCGAGCAGTAGTACCGTACAATTTGGGCACCTTTGCTGTGCAGACATGTTGTATTATATAGCTTTCGCCAGGTATTATAAGCTTTCTGGGTTGGAACTGAACTCTGTAGGACAGTTGATCTGGGCACCCCCGTGTTATGCCTGAAAGGACCCTTAGGTTAAATCCTGCAAACCATTTAGATCCAGTCTCCCCAGTGCACACCTAAGGTGAAATGGTGCACCACAATCTTCTGATGCTGCATTAAAGGAGTATTTCACCCAAAAATGAAACATTTGCTGAAAATTTACTCCCAGTTTACTCTCAGGCCATCCAAGATGTAGATGAGTTTGTTTCTTCATTAGAAAAGGTTTAGAAAGATTTAGCATTCCATCACTTGCTCACCAATGGATCCAGTGAATGGGTGCCGTCAAAATGAGAGTCCAAACAGCTGATAAAAACATCACAATATTCCACACCACTCCAGTCCATTGATTCACATTTTGTGAAGTGAAAATCTGTGTTTCCAGGAAACAAATTAGTCAAGATGTTTTTAACTTCAAACTGTTGAGTTCATAATCCATAATATTGATTTCTCCACTGAAGAAGTTGTCTTAATCGGAATCAGGAGAGAAATATGCACAGATTAAGCTCCATTTACAAGCAAGTTTTAATGTGAAAGGGTAACCGGGAAAGGACTGGAGAAAGCATTATTATGGAATATTGACATGTATTTTGACCAGAAACAACATTTTCATGTTAAACACGTCTTAAGGAAGGATTTGTTTCCTACAAACATGCAGATTTTCACACCACAAGGTGTTAACTGATGGACAGGTGTGGAGTAGATTACTTGTGGATTTTATAGGGATGTAACGATTAACCGCGAGCCGGTTGAAAATCGATTTAAGTATGTGACGATTCAAATCGGTTGAGATGCTAAACAAATCGCGATTCAATTAGGGGTAGGAGTTTATATGAACGTATGTCTGAGGGGAACTTACTGTCTTTCGATGGTATTTTTTCTTTTCCTCTTGCCTCTGTATAACGCATATTAAAGTTCATAAGTTCAGCGCTGCTTTGTTTACAGCGGAAACCAAGGAAACGCTTTAAACGCCACCTGCTGGCAGAGAGTGGAGTTGAGTGAATCGTTACATCCCTAGTGGATTATAGTCATGTTTTTATCAGCTGTTTGGACTCTCGTTCTGACGGCACCCATTCACTGCAGAGCATCCACTGGTGAGCAAGTGATGTAATGCTACATTTCTTCAAATATGTTTTGATGAAGAAACAAAATAATCTACATTTTGGATGGCCTGCAGGTGAGTAAATTTACAGCAGTTGTTATATTTTTGCGTGAAGTATCCTTTAATAGTCTTAATCCAGTTTCATATTTCATATTTGACCACATAATTAGACACATCTATGAGATTTAGGCTTGTCTGATTGTATACTTAATGCAATGCATGTGCATTTTGAATGTGTTCTCATGTCTTTGACCTGTCAGAGCAGAGGACATCTCTGTTTTAGCCAGAGGACGTTCACATGTTGATCTGGGATCAAAAACAGGG